AAAAAAAAAAAAAAAAACAGTCACAGGGCAAGAGCTCAAATTCAAGAAGAAAAAAAAAAGTACTTTGAGTAAACATATAATGAAACTGTAAATGATAAGGCATACTGTCATAGTTAAACTGGTAAAATTTTTTCTATATGGTATATATTGATGGGTCTTAATATCAATGAAATCTTAGAGTCAATGAAATACCATATCTTGAGTTTTAAATCTACCATCTTCTTTTGGGCTTTCTATTTATTTTCCCTCTTTAATATTTACTTCCTTTTCTTTCTTGCTTTTTTGTTTCTTTTTGATTGATGGAGGATTTTTTTAATACTTTCCCCCTCTGCTAGTTCCTAATCTCTTAATGTTTATTCTAGAAATAATTAAGACAATTAACTTATTTAAGTTAAAGTTAATTAAAACATTTACTCTACTTCTTAGTAAGGCCCCAGTAAATGTTAACTATTATAGCAAAAGAAATGGAAAATGTTCTAGCACATTAGGTAGAAAATTAATGACATAAAAATCTCTTTAAACAGCAAGATAATGTCAAATGTGTCAAAGACAGACTTACAGATTTTCATAAACCAGATAATATACAGATATTATATAAAAAAAGAATGCAGGATGAGGGGTAAGGAGAGGCAATGGGAAAGACAGACTAACCTACTTTTCTTCCATTATCAGGTCAGTAAGAACGGCCTTCTCCTTTCTCTTATCACCCTCTTCTTCCATAAGAACAGAGACCTAAAGAGGAGACACTGGGCTGAACTAGGCTGAAACAGTAGACTGATCCAAGCCAGGACAGGCCCGATGATTTACTTTCTAAAGTAGGATGATCTGAAATTTTAAATCTGGCAGTAATCTCAAGATAGCATGGAAAAAGCATCAGAGCCTCCCGCAAAGTTACAAAGTATTCAGAGTTCTGAAGCCTCTCCTAGAATTCAGTAAATAGAAAATATTTCTCCTAAATTTCTAGGTCCTAAAAGGAAGCTTATTTCCCTTCCTTGGTTGCCACCAAATCAAAATTCCCATTCATTCACAGAGGCAGATTGCTTAACTATTGATTCATACCAGTAATTATCCAGATAAAGTTTACCATGTGTGTGCGTGTGTGTGTGTGAGAGAGAGAGAGAGTTTCCTGGTTTGACTGTAAGGAGAGATATTCTGGAAGTGGTTAAAAAGAATGGTCACACAGTGACTGCAATGGGGCATGGGGGGATACTTGATAATATGGGTGATTGCAGTAACCACATTGTTTTTCATGTGAAACCTTCATAAGAGTGTATATCAATAATACCTTAATTTAAAAAATTATTATAAAAAAAAGTGGTCACAGGTGAGAAGGCTGAAAAGTACAGAAAACTAAAACTAATTTGCCTCTATTCCTCCCTCATCTATCTTTTTTTCTGCGACTCAGCCCTCCTCTTTGACTCCTCTTCCTTTTAAATTCAAGGCTGAATTGAACTATGTTTTCTTTAATCTGTTGTATTTCTTAATTTAACAAATATTTACTAAGAACCCCACTATGTACCAGGTAATATGCTAGACACAAAGGTACCTAAGATAGACATGGTCCCTACCCTCATAGGGTTTCAAAGTAGTGTGCAGGGAAGCCTATTAAAGAAACAAGTACAATTTGAAAAAAGCTGCTTACAAAATAACACATAACATGATCCTTTATCTGCTAACTAAAAACATCTTTAAAGGCATTAAAATAGTTATTCAGTCAGTAGACATTTTCAGTCAGGTGACTTAAAATGCTAAATAATTTCTCTTAAAAACAAAATGAAGCTGTTTTTATATTTGTGAAGCCGCTTCTTACTTTTTGTTCATTGTGGTCAATGGTTCTAAACTGGAGGCAGGAGATGGTAACTAAAGCATTAGCAACAAAAAAATTACTGTACTTTGTGCCTAAATGATACAAGGAAAAATTCAAGACCTTGTGAAAACATGAAAAAAAGTACTTTGTACAAATAAAAATCTTAATTTGCTCCTTATTTTCCTTCTAATAACCTTAAAAAGATTGAATCTTTAGATTCTTTCCCCCTCTCATTTCCATTCCCTGAATTTCTGTTTCCTTCTCTTGAAACATTATTTCAATTCACTTTCTTTACTGATATAGTGGCAACTAAACAATTTCACATGAGCAGTATAGGGTATATTTATGTAGTATTTATAAAGAAAAGTCTGAAAAAAAATAAAACATTGGTATACAGAAGAAAATTAAGCAAGGGCTACTAGTGAAATAAAAGGCAATTTCGAAATAGGTAACAGTTAAAGTGGTTTTAAAAAAACAACTTTTAAGTAACAAAGAAGGCAAAAGTGTGCCCCATGTGATGATACTGAATTTAAATGTACCTTGGGATGGATTATATTTTTCAACATAAATTTATTTTCTTGATGATTTATTATGTGATACTAAAGATAACTTATCTCTGTCTTTTTAGTGCCTTGTATAAAGCAAAGGCTCAATAAATATTGGCTCTTTTTTTAATACATCTATAAATTATACAGCAAACATCTATTAAGCATTTGTGGGTAATCTTAAAAAATAACCAAAACAAATGCCCAATAACACAGACAAGACCTCCATAATGAATTTTTTACTCTAAAAAGTAAAAAATGAAACACACCTTATTAAAGTTATTTCCTTCTGTAGTTAATGCTCAGATGATGAAAGAAAAGAAGATCTATACTGTAGCAGAGTCTTCTATGTGCCTTCCAATATCCAAATATTCCTTTCCACCTTGGTAACAAAAGCCCAATTTTATTCAAGGCAGCCATGCATCCAGCTACACTTCCCTGTATCCCTGGTAGCTTGAGCTTTGGTTCAGAAGTATCCTTAAAGGAAGAGGATGCATACTTCTTGGCCTTTGCCTTGCTGCCTGGAACTTGGCTGTGGTGGTTAGAGCCCTGGCAGGAATCTTGGAATAGGAGACCAAGGCAACATCTTAGCAAAGCATATCAAAATACTGGAAAAAACTTAGGTCCCTGACCACTTTATAAAGCTACTATACCTATCCTCAACAGCCTATTCAAGAATTATTTTACATAAGACATATTGTGCATTTAAGCCACCATTAAGTCTGTATTTATGTTTTGCTTTCTTAACTGATCACTTACCTTTAGATAGATGAGGAATTTTTATCTCTTTTTTACAGATGAGGCAACTGAGATTCAGAGAGGTAAGGTAACTTGCACAATATCAAATTAGTGATGTGGGGAGCCTTGGCTCCTAGCTCAATGCTTTTTCAGTAAAAAATGACTTAACAGCTTCTAAATGTAAAAAAATGAAATAAAAATAGATTAAATATAAACATAAACCTACCCCTATTACAGTGGTAATAGAACATGATAGTGTATGCATTTGTCATATCCTGTGAAAAGAAAAAGTACCAAATTTTTATGATGTGGAAGGAGACTAATTTATATCATATTCCAGTGGGAAGATAGAAATATCAAATAAACAGAATGAAAGACCAGAATAAACAAAGATAGTGATTTATTATATCCCAGTTTTACTATATTGCTCCCTTTTAAATAACTAAAAATTCAGACTATAAGCTTATTTTCCTCAGCAATGAGATTTCAAGATATAGGATGAGTTTTCTTGTTAAAACCTTAACTGGAATTTTTCTTAAAGTCCTTAACTGGACTCTTTCTTTACCCTTACTACCACTTTTAAAAATGAACCTTGGCCCCAGTCTCAGTTACAGAGATCTGTAGTAAAGCAAAACATCTCAGATTTTCTTTTTAGAAGCCCTACTACCCAACTGTAAAATACACGGCAGTTAGCCCATGTGCATACTTAGTGGTGAACATGATCAATTATTTCTAGGCAGTCTGTAAAGAAAATAAGCAAATAAAAGACCTTCAAATGTTAAGAACACATACATTTCTTTCTTTTTATGGTATATTAACATGAAATCATCAAAGCAGGAGACTAATGATATGCATGTTATATGCTGGAAAGGCATATGACTTTTATTAACATGGCATGGTCAAAAATAAATAAAAGTTTGAATACTAACTACTCCCATTTACTGGCAAGCTACTTGCCTCTCTTGAGTCTGGATTTTCCTACCTATAAAACTGAACTAACAATTCTTCATAAATCCTTGATAGGATGAAAATAAGAATGAATACAATATAACAAGCCAGTGCGTGGCAAAAGTAAATGATTAATAAATATTAATGCCCTTCCTGTTTTGAAAATGAAATAGCTATATATTGAAATAATGAAAATCTGTTCTATAAACATCCAAAGTTATAGAACTTAAAAAGCAAGAAACCAGTTTGACATACAACCTTAAATGTCATTTTTTTTAAAAGGCCACATTAGCACTATCTTCTGAGCACTGCCATAGCCAAAGGTAGGCCAATGGAAAGAATATATCCAACAAAAGAGGAACACAACCTCTTCCTCCCTGGCATTAAAACAGACCTTTTACAAGAGACCTAGGCTTCTTTCTCCAAGGCACTGCCTTAAGCCAGGAAACTTGCGTTGTTTCTCTCTGTCAATGTCATAATACTAACAGTGAAAAGGAGTAGGGTGGAGAAAAAAAAAGGCTTAGGAGTTTCTCAATGACAGTAATGACAAGGGCAACCATTAACCTGCTGCTCAACTCCATTTTTCCCTTTGAAAATGAAATTCAGTGGGAAAGTGAGGCTCAAAATAAAACATCATATGTATGGCCAGCTCAACTGGACTCTAACCTTTCCCTGTGCCAAGACATTAGTACAGATCTTAGTGTCTTTGATGTTCATCCTGTAGAAAAGGACACCAGTCAAGGAAACCATTATATTGCCTTTTTTTTTCATTCTTAATAGGTTACAGTATCTTTGACAACAGACTTATTTATGAAAAGCAGATACTGTTTTTCATCTGTATCACCCAATACACAAATTTATTAAAATGTCTTCATTATTTATATATATTGTACTTCAGATAACTAAAGTACAATCTGCCAAAAATAAAATCATGCAACTGCTACCTCAATTTCCTTTAGGTTGCTTTAAAATTTTTAAATGATACAATTCTTGGACCAGAAATAATCTCAGAGGTGGTTTGGTTCAGATCCTATTTCTATGAAAGTTATAAAGCACAGGGAAGTTAACTGACTTGGCCAGGATCATTTGGCAGAGTCTGGATTGGAATCCAGCTACCAAAGTCTAATTAAGTATACTTTTCACCATATCATGGTGGGGTTCTTTTCTAAATGTTAGATGAAAATTATTAAGTGATTGAGATTTTTCTTTGAATAAGTTATTTGAAATTATTAGAAGCCTGTCTTTCAAAGCCTATAAACTAATTCCATGTATTAAACATACAAATAACAAATTTTCCCTTTCTAGACCTCCAGTTATTTAGAAGAAGTTAATCATCTATCATGCCAAATAAAGTCAACTCAATTACAATATTTAAAAAATTACCTACTTTAAGGATTTGTTTCAATACATTTTAAAATACTGCATTCAGTTCCTCTGGCTACCTAATACTTAAAGGGTATTTTGTACATCTCAGTCATCAAAAGGGTCCTTAGGAAGCTGAGGGCAATTTAAATATAATTCTAAATAACACAAAATGAGTTTGGTATGTCTATAGAGACATATAACATATCCCCCCCAAATAACACAAGTATCGATCATGCTACTGATAATCTATATTAGTGACCATAATCAATACTAGTGTTTTGAAAGGTACCCTTATGCCTTCATTGCGCATTTAATTTTAACTGTTATTTACAAAACACAAACCAATTTGGCAAAACTATGCTGAAAGGATATATACAAAATGTGTGATATGACAGTAAAGTACCTCTGGAGATTAGAGAAAGGTAAATACAACACGGACTTGCAAGATGGGCAAAATTAGGATAGGCAGAAAAGAATAGCATGAGAGCCACAAGGAGACAGAAGTGAATTTTTTGTACCATAAAGTTGAACCAGATCGTGGAAAGTTTAAAGACCAAGATGAGAAATATAAGTTCCTATGTTCACCGTAATAACAAGGGTGATTTTATTAGAGATTTCTAATTCTAAATTTCTATGCTTTTTAAATTTTCAACCCTATTAAGTAAGAAACATTTGTTCAACATTTGTTGGATTTGTTCCAGTTTTATAAAATAAGAACTCAGCTTAAATCAGGATGAGTCTTGAGACAATTTCTACAGTGACAAGATGCAAGACTGTATATTTCCTGACTCCAATCATTCAACAGAATTCCTTCCACAGGAAAGGCGTTAAGAAGCAAAAAAAAAAAGTCAAATAGGTCATAAAAGAAGTTATAGGTTACCAAATCCAAATCTATTATACCACTAGTCATACGACGTTCAACGAATTTTTTAATCAGTTCTTTAAATTCTTATAGGGAAAGTCCACAATCTCCTTCTTCAAACATAATTGACCATCAGAAATTTGCATTCCCTCCACCCACCCACGCACGCACCTTTTTTAACCATTGTAATAGAACACTGTTTGGTGTTTATATTCATCCATGGCTTTAATAGCTTTAATAAAAGGCTTAGTTGGCAGCACTTCCTTATTCAATTGTGTAAATGTACATGATCCATTTAGGAGTTTAGAGGGCACTTTAAGAGTATCAAGAGATTCTGTCTCCCAAATACTAGAATAATGTTTCAATGGTTCATGTTTTTATTTTCTCGCTGTCATTCTCACTCTCGTTTTCTGATATTGTAAAAGAATCGCCATCCAAAATTGGCTATGGCCGGCACCAACCGCAATAACCACATTTGCTCTCTGAGTTACCACTTAGCAGGTGCCGAAAGGAAGTAACATCTTTCTCATACTCTGAAACCGAAACAGCTCATCTCCCACCTGATTAGTCACTTAAAAGGGAAAACAATACAACTGACAAGAACTTTTCTCATCTCCTAAGTGTCAGGGGTTTTCGGCTTATCAGAACCCGCAAAAGAGCAGGATTCACCGGCCTAGGTTTGCTCGGCAGCGCGTGGGTCGGTAAGCATCAGCAGGAATCGCTGTGTTTACCCTCCCCTCAGTAGACACTTCCCTTGCCCAGCGACCTGTCAAGGCGGGGTTTGTAGCCCCGCCCGGGTCTCGGTCCTGCACCTACCCATGCCTGCTCCCCAACAAAAGCTTGCCACCTTCATCGGCCCCCAAGAAAGCTGGGGTGCCCTGCAGCGAGCGGAGCGGAGAAAGGGACCCCGCGCCTAGGGCTGGAGCAGGAAGCGTTCTCTACCCGTGCCTGCCCACTGTGCTGCCCCCACCGTCCTCAACGCCCTGCCAGGGCAGGCGAAGACCTGAGCCTTATCTCAGGACCCGCCCTTGCCTCCCACTGTGCTGATGCGCCCCCATCTCCGAGCTACCGGCCTTACCTAGCTGGATCTTGGCGCGCTAAGACTCCGCCGGCTGAATGAATGCAGCTCACAGACCCGTCTCTCCTGCCCCCGACCCACGGCTTTGCTCTGCACCTCCGCCGACCGCGCGCTCCCGCCTCCTCGCAGCCATGACGACAGCCCCCGCCCCCCGGCAGCCGCCGATTGGACCGACTGGGATCGCGGAAGGCGCCGATTGGCGGGGGCGGAGACGACTGCCGGCGGGCAGGAAGGCGGGCGGCGAGGAGCTCCAACGCTGGGAAGCCAGGGGGAGGCAGAGCCAAGAGGGACGTGGCGCTCTGCTATGCGGGAGGGGAAGCCGCGCCCCTTCCTTCTCTGGCTTTCATGCAGAAGCCTGTGGAGCAGGGTTTGGGCGGGTGAGGTGCTTTCCCGGGTTCGGGACAAAAACCCCAGGAATCGCCTTGCACTTGGCTGCTGGCCCGCGCCGGCAGCGCCCTGACCAGTCAGAGATGGACTCTTTAAGGCCCATTTTCGCCCACAAGCCTGTCTTCAGTCTAACACCCCGGGCGTCTTTCATGGCCGGAATCTTACTTGTATTTGTAACCTCACCCACCCGCGTCTTGCAGTGCCTTTGCCCACTGTGGCTTAATTGCTTTTTACACCACATTCTCTCACACCCGTCTGCGGACATAGCTCTTTTCTTTACAATCTCCCCTCATAGAACTGACACATCTACACAACCCTCCTCGTTTTTAAAGGTGGGAAAAAAGGCTCAAAGTTATACGTGGCTCAAGGGTTAGAGAAGTTTCTGGAGCCTCGTGGCTGGTTTCGAATCTTGAGTCTGCCAAATCATAATACCTCTCTGAACCTCAGTTTTCATGTAAAAAAAAAAGGCATCATCTACCTCAGAGGTGAAGATTTTAAAAGATAACATACTGAAAAACCAGTTCAGCACCTGCTGCATACGTTAGTAATGGCAGCTTGTTTTTATAGGAAGTAGTAGAGAGTAAGTAGCTAAATGCACTAATTTTCAGCCAGCTACCTATGTTGCAAAACCTGACCTCACATATTTCAGACCAACTCCATGACTTAAGGCAAGTCACTTATGCACTTCAGTTTCCCTGTCTGTAAAACAGGGATAATAATAGTACCCCCCTCCTTACAGCATAACAAGTTAATAGAAAAGTGAATGTCACAGAATAAATAATGAATGTTAGACATTCTCACATTAGTGGCTTAGCTAGGACTATAATTCAGGTGTCTGGAATTCCAGATTCTAAAATTCCAAGACCAGCAATCTTCAGTCTTACACAGTCCGAAGAGAGGCAGGAGGTTAAGCTCCTTTTTTAAGGCTCAGGAGGAAACACTTGCCCATTTTCTTTAAATCAAAATCTCAAACTATCTCCTTTATCATCATGAAAGTCCTAGAATGTTATGACTCTGCCTCCACTGAAGGTGTAATAGCAGAGGAAAATGTAAGGAAAATAATATTTAGTCCTGATGGATAGATTTAAAATCGGAAGCACTAGAGGAAAAAAAAAGGTTATTCAAGAGGTTATGGTAAAGGAGCACTAAATTTCATTTTGAAAAACTTGAGCAATATTATTATTTGGGTATTGGTTAAGTATCACTAGTAACTCATTTTAGTGTCAGATCATGGACAATTCAGCATCCCAACACTGTGGAAAACACCAAACTGTAAATACATTAAAGATAGGAACTATCTACCACATTTTTACTACCTGATATCTATCACAGGACCAAACACACAGTACTAAAATTTGGGTAGACACTTTAAGGGGAGACCCTGAAAGATCTAATAATAATCTAGATTATTTATAGTAATCTAATGAAGTTGAAGAATGGAAAATGGGGTTAGTCCAACAATACAATGAAAGAAAAAGAGTAACAAACACTCACTTGATGACTGAGACACTGACATTATTCTCAGCAAGATTCTGGGTGAAGGAAAAAAGAAAAGATAAGGAAGACAGGACAAAAATTACACAGTAATCTGCCAGATTAGGAGAAATCACTAAGGAAAATATTTCAGACTGTCATATGCATATAAAGCAGGCAACTGCAGCTCTTATACTAATAAAGGCTGTTTTTTGGTAGAGAAAAATAGGAATATTGAAAGGAGTTATAAGGAAATGTTATACTAATAGCTAAAATTCAAAACTTTGGGGATTAGCACTGATGAAAAATCTCAGGGAAGGACTGAAGAATATACTACTACATTGTACAAGGGGAAAAGCAAGGCTTTGGAGTCAGCACTGGGTCCAACTCTGGGTCCAGTCCTACCTGGATTAAAAACCCAGTCCCACCTTTATTAGCTGAACGTCCTCTAGCATGTTACTTAACCTCTCTCCATAGCATGATTGCCCCATCTCTAACATGGGGGCAAAAAGTTCCCTCTTCATGAAGTTGTGAGGATCAAGTGAGTTTATAAAGCAGAGAAGTGCCTGGCAAACAGTAAGTGGCATATTAAAGTTTGGTAAAATACTGGTCTCAGTTTTTCTATCTGTAACTTAGGATCATACTGAATTTATGTAAGGATTCAAATGATGTATGTAAAGTGATAGAGAGGAGATGCTTAATATTTCTCTGCCCTTCCACCCCCCACCCCCTACCTGTTACATTTGAGCTCCTCTCTGATTACCACTGTCTTTGCCATCAAGAAGCTATTGCTGAACCTAGACCAAACAAGGATAAAATATCTTTTCTTGATTTCCCTTGGCTCACCTAAGCAGCTCAAAATGAGTTTATTGGAGGCCAGAAGAAACTAAAAGGGAAAGAACCCCAGAGAACTAGCTAATGTGAAGCTCGCCCATATTACATTTCTTGGTAATCCAGGGGAGGAAAACATGGTGTCAAGGAGATTATGGCTTTTTAATACTTCAATTATTTCTCTTCTTACTTCTAGGATTCACAGAACATCAACCAGCCAAGTTCATCACTGTGTTCAGAAGAGAGGAGTGGAGACAGGAATACTTGCTCACAGAAGACAGTAAGTAGTATCAGAAACAAGAAAACTAAAAAAATACCTACTACATAGGAGCCAAGACTTTCATTAAGCTTTAGATCAGGGGTCAGCAAACTATTTCATTTTTTTTAAATCAACCAACTGCCTGTTTTTGTAGTTTTGTTGGAATGCAGCCATACTCAACAGCCACACTCATTTGTTTATGTATTGTCTCCAGTTGCTTTTGTACTACAATGCTAGAGTTAAGTGGTTGTGACAGAAACTGTTGGTCCTCAAAGTCAAAAATATTTACTACCTGGATCTTTATAGAAAAAACTGCTAGCCCCTGATCTAGATAGTAAGCCCAGAATCATCTTAACAGTATCCCCAGTGTAAAAATTTTCACCATAATCAACTCCTCTAATCCATTGCTTCTCAAACATTAATGTGCATGCAAATCTCTCAGGGGTCTTATTAAATGCAGATTCTGATTCAGTAATCTACAGTGAGTCCTGAGATTCTACATTTCTAACAAGCTTTAGGGTGATACCAATACTGCTGGTCCCTCTATCAACTTGACCCCATCAGGTTTTTTCTAAGCTATAATTAACAGGTGTACAACATAATGTTTTAATATTATATATATTCAATACATATATATTGCAAAATGATCCTCACAGTAAGTGTAGTTAACATTCATCTCCATGCATGGTTACAATTTTTTTTCTTGTGATGAAATAAAATTTACTCTCTTATGCAATACAGTACTTTTAACTATAGTCACCATGCTGTACTTTAAATCCTTGGGACTTATTTACAACTGGAAACTGTACCTTTTGTCCACCTTCACCCATTTTGCCCATTCCCCACCCCCATCTCTACAACTAAAAACTATAAGACATTGATGAAAGAAATTGAGGAAGACACAAATAAATGGAAATATAATCTGTGCTCATACACTGGAAGAGTTAATTTGTTAAAATGTCCATACTACTCAAAAAATCTACATATTCAATGCAATCTCCATCAAAATTCTAATGGCATTTTTCACAAAGAGAGCAATACCAAATTTTGTATTTGTAGAGAAAATGAAAGTTCCTGTGGCCAGAATTCTCATCTGACCCTGATTGGCTTGCCTACCGCACACGTGTGGGCCATATGTTATTATTGACTCTATATAAAGCACTCCTCTGGGCTACGTGGCTGCAGGAGAGCAAGAGCTGGAATGGTGGAAGTGCTGAGGACAGAGACAGAGACAAAGATGGCATAGGGGGCAGAGATTGGCTTGCTGAATGTAAATTTGCTTCAAGGTGGTTGGGATTCTAGCACTTGACCTGCCACCATGGGAATAAAGTTGGGTATAAACCTTTCACCCCAGAAACATTCCATTGTCATTTTTTTGGTCTCACCAAATCAAGAGTGAACTTGCCTGGGGCTGAAAATCACTGGTAAAACATCAGTGTATGGGTCTTTCGCTTCCTTGGTTAAATTTATTCTTTAGGTATTTTGTTCTTATTGATGCAATTATAAATGGTACTGTTTTCTTCATTTTTCTTTCCCATTAGATTTTTTTATTAAAGTGTCATTAATATACAATCTTATATTGGTTTGAAATGTACATCACAGTGGTTCAACAGTCGCTGTGATCAACTTATATTGTGATTGTGAATTATTGTGCCCCTTTATCCCCCTCCCCTCCTATCCTGCACCCATCCCAACCCCCTCCCCTTGGTAACCACTAGTCATACAATATGATTTCACATATTTGTGGAATATAAAAATAAAGCAAAACTGAAGGAACGAAACAGCAGCAGACTCCCTTTAGTTTTTATTATGAATTCTGTCTAGTTATTTCTTCCCTCATTCTACAGCCTAATTTCTCTAGTTCATCAGTAATATAAGTTGCATAGAAACATCAGCTCCCTTGCCTTTCTTTCGCCTCCACTGTTCTTAGCTGACAAAAATCCAGCCCTGAATGAACCAGTGTCCTCCTGGTCTGTATGAATGTAGCTCTGCATTGCAGAAGTACCATTAGACCAGTCTCTCTAAATTCATTGTTACCAACTCCAGACAGACCCTAACCACTCCTCAACAATCCTCTAGTGTTTTTCTAGCGCACTCTTTTGCACGCCCTCAAGGGCCATTCCACACTTGCTCCTCAGACCTCCCATTATTCCTTCCCACTCATTTTCAACTGATCCTAAGTCAGCTTTGTTACGAATCTCCTAGA